AAACTTTGGATCACCAGACACTACTTTATTCTATAAAAGCTGTACAAAGTGACATATGCCAAAGTAAATAACTTTTGTAGTTAAGTCAGCATCTCCACAATTTTGTAGAAAACCAAACCCATTTGTTTATTTTCATTGCAGTTGAAAAACAGTGACACATGAAAGCAAGTTGATCAAATCTGTTCCAAATTGCAGCGTGAAATTAAAAGTGTTAGGAGAGAGATGAAAATAAATGAACTATATAAAATACATGTCTAGTCTTTGATTTTTTTTTCCAGTGTAGTCTTCTTTTTAATCCTTTAAGATAAAAATATATTTTTTCTCTGAGTTTTCAGGTATTTCAATGAGCAAAAGCCCCTTTTCTATTCATTATTTAGATAAGAATTTTATGTAAGGAAGAAAAAGAACCACATTTGAAGATAACGTACCAAAGGAACCAGTTTAAAATCTGAAACTGAGCATGTGAAGCTGCTTCAGGAGCTATTTTGGCCATAGTGCTTAGAGGCCATACATTTTTTGCTGGTCTTTCCTAAGTCACAGATGCATAGTTTAACCATACAAATATTTATTGTTTTCTTTTTGATTTATTATAGCTCAATCCAAACACATATTTTTCAAACGAAAAATAATCAAAAGTTTGAGGACCCTTTTATAAAATTTTTATTTTATTTTATTTTATTTGTTTGTTTATTATTTTTTATTCTATTTTATTTATTTATTTTTTTTTGAGAAGGAGTCTTGCTCTGTCACCTAGGCAGGAGTGCAGTGGCGTGATCTCGGCTCACTGCAAGCTCCACCTCCCAGGTTCACGCCATTCTCCCACCTCAGCCTCCTGAGTAGCTGGGACTACAGGCTCCCGCCACCACGCCTGGCTAATTTTTTGTATTTTCAGTAGAGACAGGGTTTTATCATGTTAGCCAGGATGGTTTCGATCTCCTTACCTCGTGTTCTGCCCGCCTTGACCTCCCAAAGTGCTGGAATTACAGGTGTGAGCCACCACGCCAGGCCAAGTTTGAGGATTCTTAGACAATTTAAAAGAAATATCTATATCTTTACAGTTGCTTATATATTAAATTTGTGACATGTGGGTATAGGGAGATTCATACAAAAATACATGTCTTAATTATAAAGCTCTTAAAATTACAATGATTTTATTTTATAATTTCTTTAGGAACAACTTAAGTATTTAAAAATCAAGAAACTGTATCCTGTAGTTTGTAAATACAATGGACATATGGAAACATGGTAAGTTATGGAAAGAAAGAGAATGAATTAGAAGCACTTGCATTTTTTTTTCTGCAAGATTCCTTGTCTTTGAAAGTTTAAATCAAACGTATAGGTGTCAACGAGCAGAAAAATGTACTTGGAATTAGGTGTACGATGCTTGTTAACAGTAACAAGGCTTGTTAATCCAAATCTCTACAGACCCCACTGAAAATATATATTCATGTATAGGAGCAGCAAATAATGAACATACTCTCTGTGTGTGTTTGTTTAGCACAATTAGTGCCTTTAACTCTCCCTAAAAAACATTTTCTGTATCTAGGGCAATTTTCCAAATTCAGCCTCCAGTCCTCTCAAAGTCATGCCAGATTACTTTTACTCAATTAGCAGAAGGACAGAAATTGAGAAGGGGGCAATGAAAGCAACTAAAATAAATACAAGCAACTAAAAGTAAATACAAGTTTTTGAGCACTAGTGTCGGTATGGACAGACTGTTGGCCTGAGGAAAAAATAATGTTACTTAATAGCATTGTTCAATTATCTAACTGTATCTTCAGAACATCAATTATCTATTACCACTGAGAGGAAAAAAGTGTTTCAAATTAAATAATGTATAAAATATATACATAAATAAAACATGGCTGCAAAGATACTATGATAAATGGAGTAGCAATAGAAATAACAAAATCCTCTTTCCAAAGAATGATGTATTCTAGAAAAATCCTTCTATCCTTCCCTGGCTTACATTTCTGCTAAGGAAAGGACCTATCAGAGATATTCCTCTTAATGTAGTGCAACTCTGAGTTTTGAGTATAACTTTTACAAACTCCCAAACATTAATATCTGCTTTCAAGCTAGGCTTGATAGTTTTATATGTGTGTTCTCCCATGAAAAGTCAACAGCAGGTAATTAGTTGATATATGTTCTTATGGTCCCTATGTAGATCATCAGAATTTGTTTGTGGTTTCTAAAAGAACAGTGACTTGAAAATAGTTTTGAGTGGTTTGAAAATAGTTTGCAGAATGTTATTTCCACTTCCATGGGAGCAGCCCCCCATTCTAGTGAATAATGTTGGATTTTGATATCCTTTGGTACATTCATAAGTAGCTGTCTAGATCAACACTGACGTATAAACCTTCAGGTGAGGTTGACCTTACATGGTAAAAGTTGTGAACATTTTATAACATAAATCCATTTTTATATGTAACATATTAAATTTGTCTTACTGCCTCCAAGGTGTTTATTTTAGGATATCTATCTATCTGTCTATCTATCTATCTATCTATCTATCTATCATCTATGTATCTATCTTCAGTGATCAAATTCAAACATCTTTAGAATTACAATTCTTAACGCTGGGTGAAGTACTTTAATTTCAGTAATTTGGGAGGCTGAGGCAAGAGGATCACTGAGTCCCAAGAGTTCAAGACCAGCCTGGGAAATATTGTGAGACCCCATATCTAAATATATATATATATATAAAATTAGCTGGATGTGGTGGCATGTGCTTGTAGTCCCAATTACTTAGAAGGCAGAGGTGGGAGAGTTGCTTGAGCCCAGCAAGCTGAGGCTGCAGTGAGCTGTGATCACACTACTGCACTCCAGCCTGGACAATTCTTCAAAATCTTCAAAATTACAATAGTCTGCATTTCAGAAAATTGTCTATACCATTTTAGGCAAAGTTAAAAAATCAAAAATATTTTAAGCCACTGCATCAAGCAGTGATTATCCAATGCATCCAATTTAGAGAAAGACTCCAATAACATGGGATGCCAGCCATCATGTAGAACTGTGGAGTCATTGAGAAGTACAAAATATTTTTTTTTCCTGTGATCTGAGTAAATTTCAGAAACTTAGGAGGAAAATCAAAAGGTAATATGAAGTTAAACATAATACAGATGAAATTGCTTCTTTGAAAATTCACTTGTTACCATTATGAGGAATGACAGAAACAAGTGTTGAATTTGCTTAGAGAATTCTGTCAACACTTAGGTTTTTGTTGTTGTTGTTGTTTTGGAAATTATCGGTTTCAAAACATTGCATTATTGATGCATTTCTTAGTCAGAAGTTTTCCAGATTTTTTTTTTTTGGTAACAGAGATATAGGCAGAAAAATAACTAAAAATATTTTATCTTCCTTAGGTGGAAAACATCAGCATTTTATCTTCTACTACAGTAGCTGACAACATTAAACTTGTAGGGCAAAAAGAATGAAATGATTCTAAGTCATAATATCTTCCAAAGGTTCCTAATTCAGTGAGTGATATTCAGCTTCTCACTTTCCTCATAGCATCCTTACACTCAGCAATATTTCTGTCCTTCAGGAGCTAACCTACTCAGCAAGAGATTTAGGTAAGACTGCAATGGCTGGAGCATTTCCGAATATCTGGTCTTCCACTTCCTGGAACATGAGAAATCATTCATTTTGAACAGTAACATCTGGCCCTAAAAATGTCCATAATGGTAACTATTCAAAATAATCAGAAAGTGACATTGGCATAAGTTGTAGTTTCCTGTGGCCACTCAGGAATGTTCAGCATTACTTGTGTGATTACATCTAATTGTTCATTAGTTGTATATGAATATAATTTGCTGTTCTCAACCATTTCCAAACTTAAGAACATGCTATGGGTTTGATCACTGTGAAACAATGTTAGGGTACTAATCCTTATATAGAGAATCACATTTCTCCATTGAAGTCCTCCTCAAGATGTCATTTTAAAAATTGCCATTGAGCTTTTTTTTTAAAAAAAAAAAAAAATAAAGACTTCAGAAATACACTTCTATTTTTCATCTTTCCATTATTATGATAAAAGTTAAAAATAAACACAAAGGCTATTTTTCTCATACTTGGCAGTTATATTTGTTACTTTATATCCAAGTTAAAAATCTAAAATTGATTTCCCGTGTGAAGTGAGTTTTAGCCAACCATCTGCTCAGGAGAGGGGAAAGGCAGACAAAGCTTATTCTTTCCTGCTGCTGCTTCTCACTGCTGTTAGGTGACTACCGGGAACCTTAAAATAGGATTGCCAGGTTTAACTTTTCAGAATGTGGAGTAGGCATATGTGTCTACTAGGGATTTGGGGCAGGGAGGGGTGTACTTAGACCAGCAGGACTAGCTAACGTATTAGGTACTGATATTGTTGAATGCCATAGATGGGAGCACAGATGTCCCAAACATGTCCTGCTTCCCATCTCAAATTCATGATTCAGCAAGAAAAATGAGATGATCTTGAATATACAGATTACCCATGAGCCTATGTCTAGACTTGAATGTTATTTCAAAAACTGGTTTTCTTAATCCAGTGGCTTTCAATTTTGGGGATGAGTATGTTGGAGAAATCTAGTTTTGGTGCTGGTGACAAATTAAGACAACACCTAGGGATAAAGAGATGTTATTAATTCAGAGAATTTGCAGTAATGTTCAGATGTGGAAAATACTGCACACCTTACAGCATTCATGGTGAGCTTAATTGTGGAAGACAATGCCTAGAAGTATAGAGTTTGCTACCTTTGCAATGCAGAATGTATTTTAATAGGGAAAAAATGGGGATGAGAACAATTAGTGCAAAACAAAGTAAATATGTAAATATGATATTTGCTGTATTTCAAAATCCAGCGTTTGAAATACAGCAAATACTTAAATCATGTTTAAATGACCATGGAATTCACAGTAAGGGAACATAATGTTAAGCATATTTTTCTATTGACATGTATTTTAAATCTTATGCCCTGAATTTATTTTCGCATATTTATAAAAAAATTTTGGCCTTCTGGCTCCTTTTTTTTTTTTTCATTTCTCAAAGTCTGTATGGAATTCAAGCATTAAATCTCTCTGCCTCTACCCAATCCAGTCCACACAGAGTCATCCTTATTTTAATCTCTTCTTCTTTCTCCCTGCCCTTTCATTCTACTCTTGTATGTATTCTTTCCATTATATTACCTAATCCTTACATAGGAAGCATTTCTATACTGTCTGCTTTACTTCACAGAATCTCTTAAATATGTTTCTGTAGCCTTAGAAGTAGGAAGATTTTTGTCCTTATATGTCAGTACAGACTTTTTTCCTCCCCAGAAAAATCTTAAAAGCTAAAATTTATCAAGTGAAACAGAAATAGTAATTTTGAAGCTGGAAAATGTTTACTACCTCATGCCATTTAACTTAAGCCTATTCAGTGATTTCGTGTACGTGACTTCCATAATTACTATTTGAAAAAAAAAAAAAAGGCAGAAGAAGAAAAGGACAAAAAGAGAGAGTGGGGGAAAGCAGTGAGGGATAGGAAGAAGAGAAAAATATATTTGTATTTGGTTATTCAAGAATCAATCAGCTAGACATTCACAAGGAGCTATCCAAATGTTTATAGTAGGTTCTACTGTTTAATGAAAGTAAAACAAACTAAAACCAAAGACTGTAATTATGTTTAACATTTCCAAATTTTTAAGGAATATAAGCCAAAATGTATCCATGCATATCCATGATTCTAGCTTACTTATCTCCTGTTTATGAAAATGTATATCCAGAGAAAAAATAGTTATTTTATGTTACATTTACTAACATTTAAGTTCTGTAGTCCCTGTTAAGGAAATGGCAAATGGAGACAGTTCCTCAGTAATCATACTGAAGTTCCTGCAGCTTCTCTGCCCTTCAAAAGTGATCCCTGCCAGTAAAACTTTGTTTCTATTGAGGATATTCACTTGAATTTTGTTTAAAATCGGAATTGTTTGTCTCAATCATACAATGCATTCTAGTGAACCTGACATATTCTTTAACAGTGTTTAAAATACTGAAATACGATAGTCTACTTAAATTAAGTTGCCTTATATTAAAGTACCCGCAGTTTAAAGATGTAAAGAGAGCGATCAGAGGGATTTTTCCAGTGGCTAAAAAAATAAAAATTTGTTTTATTTTAAATAATCAGGGATGTCAAGAATACCAAAACTGATGGATTACAGTTCTTTATGTTAAATGCTCAACAAAGTAAGTTTTCATGTTAAAAATTATTGGTAATTTTAGATCGTTTCTAATACTTTGTAATGAGTTAAACTGAAAGCAATTTTCCTTTGAATGTTGTAGACGTCTCAATGAAATGTTTAAGATGTGATGCATTGAAATGTTCTAAATTAAGTTTTATGCCTACATGGAAATTACAGCTACAGCAACAGCATTAAAAGACAACATCTCCTCCTCAGGACTCCCCCGTGACTAGGATGGGATGAATGCTGCCCAAGGCCAGACCACACAATTGCTTCTTCTCTGCTATGGAGTTATATAATAAATTTAGAATAACAAAGAAAGTCTCTCTGTTAGTGAGTCCAAACCTGTGTCCCTTATTGAACACAGTATTTAGCATGCAAGAGTGAACATAGATTAGAAGAAAGAGATGCTGTCAGGGAGCATTCCTAAGCCCCTTCCTGGAACATTTCCTTCTCTCTCAGATGTATTTACGCTTGAGCATATTTATTGCTGCCTTTTTCACTGCTTTGTTAGTATTACTAGCATTTTCAACTTTGAAAAGTTTCCCATCTCCGAGGAGAAATGATGAAAGTCGTTTAGTAGTAGGACATTGCTCCAGTGGAAAGGTTTTACCGTCTAATGCTTTTAAGTGTGTCTTTTAGGCTATAAGTGAGATCTGTGCCTTGTTTCTGAGATGAGCACATAAACCCTGTTTTGCTAAGGTACTGCTTTCTTTAGTTGCCTCTTGGGTACTTCTTTCTAAACCACTGTATATGGTTTTGCTGAATCAGAGAAAATAGAAATTTTTCTGCTACTAAAAAATCTCTTACATGTATTTGAAACAAACAAAAAATGATATCAGATGAAAACATGATAAGGGAATCTACAACTTATTGGCATTTATTAATTTAATATATATGTATTTTGCTGGCATTAATGCTTAATTTCTACAGTTGTTTTAGTGATTTGTTTGTTTTTGTTTTGTTTTTGCACCATCTAGGTGCTGATGATTCAGTGGTGAATGAAAACACCAGCTCCTCTTTACAGGATTTAAGTCCTAAGTCATACAGAGATTAAGAATATAACTATGTTTAAACAAAGCTAAACTGTGATCCTGATTTGACCACTTACAAGCCCCATGGAGATGAATATATGTGGTAAATTCTCTGAGTCACAATTTTCTCATGGGTAAATAACAGATCATTATCACTTTTTTGAAGTTTATGTTGCATAATGAAAGTAAGGAGCCTAAGTCAAGCCTTAATGGGGAGCATTACAGTAAATATTAGTTGTCAGTAATGCTTGATGTGTGCTTGTAGTCTAGTAGTAACAGGAGAAGTTTTTACATTGACTGTGTGCATCACAAATATTGTCTGCAAACTTCCCAGCAGTTCTGGGAGGTGTACATGTAGTCATCTTGTTTCTTCACTGAAGAATCTGGGGCTTAGGGCAAGAGCCTAATTAAAACTTGCCCAAGTCTCACAGCTGCTACTTGTCAGAACAAAGGTGAACCACATTTATCTGATGCCAAAGCCCATGTGTTTCTCCTGCATTAATCTGATGCTTAATCCGAGGTCGGCACTGCTTGAAGAAGCCCTTCTCTTTTTTCCTCTTTGAGAGAGAAACAAATTGTACCTTTTTCTATCCACAATTCGGCATGCTCAAAGCAGCAAGACAGTTAGCTAACTTCTTCATAAATACAGCACTCTGGCAACAAAACCACAGAACATATTTTAGTCAACTACTATTAAAATAATCTCTCTCTAGCATCACCTCCTCCCTCATTCCATTCCAAATCAGTCCCCTTATACATAATGTCTCCATGTAATTTATCTTCCAAACTAGGGCATTTGGAGGAGTGAAAGGGGGCACTAATAATCATTACTCTAGATTAACCATTATAAACCAGCTCCATCCTGGAGAGGCCAAGACATATGGTCACCACATTTATAAGACTCCAAGGTTTAAATTATGGTTAGATTAGGAAAATATTGATGATAACAGGTAGAACATTCTGTCCTCCTATATATGGACACATACACCTTTCCTTTTGAAGGCCAGAGTAAAGTCATTGCATCATTAATGCAGCCTTTGGTTCATGCTCAGTCACCCTCTGTAGCAATGTAATAACTTCTAACTTTCTTTGCTCCCTCAGACCAAGGGGATATGAATAACTGGCACCTTCTCCTTATGACATTTAAATAATCTATTTTATGTTCAGAGGATCTATGGATAAAAGCATTTTATGTTCTCCTTGAAATCCTTTGGTCAGTGCCCATATACACAACCTATGTATTTAGAAGGAAATGTGCTGTGGAAAATGATTTGTTCAATCGTAGCTAAGTATCTCTGCAAAGGAAGATGCATTTGTAAACTGTGCAAATGCAAATTTTGCTATCACAGCAACCGCCAGTTATTTGCAACAGTTTCTTATTGCAAATAACATCTTGAAAACTGGTGCTAGGTTAAATCTTTTATATGAGAATATTAAAGAGAAATGAAGAAAAGATAGGCAGATTATTTAATAAGATGATTGAACCAAGAGGAGGGGAGGTGGAGGAGAAGAAAGAAAAAAATAGAGCAAATGGAAATGGACAAAAAGTAGCTATCTGTATTACGTGTTTGCCTCAGATTTTGCTGAGATTTATCCATTTAGGATCAGTGAATTTTCATAAATGCATATGTCAGCCCATCTTTACCAGGTGTCTGTGATGAAAACAAATATCATTAATTTCTTTAAAAACAATTTTATTGTATAGACATAACATCTAACTAGCATACAAGGAATAAAAAAATGGAAGGAGGATGGATTATGAATCTGGTTTTATAGTATTGTTATAAGCAGGAATATTTCAACAATTCACCTTAAAAATCACACAAAACACATAAGTGAAGTAAGTGTGTCTTAATGTGATAGAAACTTAACCTAAAGTAGAAAGGGAGGAAAAAGGCATGAAGATAAAGATGTGAGTAAAAATATTAAAAGATTATTCAGTTCTACCCTCCCTCTAAAAATGCACTAAAACAGCGTATGTAAATTATAAGGTTTACAATTACATTGTGAATTTCAGTGGCATATTTAACTGAATAATTCACACCTTGTAATTGTATTTATTGTCTTTTCATTTCCTTCCTCTCTTCCTCTATTCTTGCTTGATTCATTCTTTTTAAATTGTATTTTATTTACTCATAGTTGTGGATTATCGGCCTCCTTGTGAATTTAATTTCCTTAGAAGAGATTTACCCTACTTTTTCCTTACCAGTTTTATATTTAATTGTACTATTACATTTACACTTTGGGAAACTCCCCCTTCCCTTATTGTTCCTACCTTTCAGAAATTCTGGAAATAAAATCACATTTTCATTCTTGCAAATGTTGGCCTCTGCTCATCCCTCACATTTCTCTCTGACTATAATTTCTTTGCTTTATTGCTTCAAATATGAGAAACTTGTGTCTTCCAATGTTTCCATTCACTTACACATAAACAAGCATCAGTATTGTCCTTATCAGAATTAAGCCAGGAGTAAGCAGTGTCTCTATTTATGTCTACTTTCTAAGAGATAAAATTGACTTCAAGACAAGTCTTAAATTATATCAGATATTCTACTTTTAGATAACTGAGTTACCTTGCAGTTTTCCTGATAGTTAACGTATCCATGAGCACTGTCAAATTTAAACTGAATTAGAAAAGAATTATCCATGTTGCAGATATTTCAGTAGAATTTCAGCCTTTATCTTTCTTTCTCCAATTAATTGTTCTCTTTGTATGATTACCTGAAAACAATGTACCTCCTAGAAACTTTGGACTATTCATTTTGTTTCCAGTTTTTCCTCTTATTACTGTAATCCATTGGTTCTCAGAGTTAGCGCTGGGGACTCCTGGGGTCTGGAAGTTCAAAATTATTTCACAGTAATAGTAAGGCATTCTTTGCTTTTTCCAGGCTTGTTCTCTCATAGGTGTCTCGAGATGACAACTCAAAGGCTACATCATGGGTGATGGCTTTATTGTTCTGATTTTTAGTGGGTAAAGAGTGATCCCATTATTCTTTGTATTCTAAAATGTTCTGTTTTAAATTATAATATAGTAAATATTGGTAGATGTAACCCACATACAAAAGCTCTCTAGAGTCCTTAGTATTTTGTAGGAGTATAAGTAGTTCCCAAGAATAAAATATTTGAGAACCACTGCTATAGGTCACTCAGATAGTGTTTTACCAAGTCCCAATTTATCACTATAAAATGCATAATTTGTTTAAAATTACAAGCATATTTTGCCTATTTCTCATACTCAGTGAAATTTAAATTTTACATCCAAACTTTGTTGTTTGAGTCCATGAGCTCCAGACCAGCCTGGGCAACTGGGCAATATGGTGAAACACTATCTCTACAAAAAAAAAAAAAAAAAAAAAGCCAGGCATGGTGGTACCTGTAATACCACCCTGGGAGGTTAAGGTGGGAGGATTGCTTGAGCCTGTAAGTTTGAGGCTACAGTGAGCTGTGATTGTGCCACTGCACTCCAGCCTGGGTGACAGGGTGAAACCCTGTCTTGAAAAAAATGAATAAATTGTACATCTAAACATTGTACTCCTAAATGGCTTTAGGAGCCTTTCCTTTGACAGTTCCTTTTAAGTTACCAGTAATTCTCCTCTCTTTTTCTTCTTTCTCAGATACATGTGTTACACCTATAGAAGCTTTTATGTCTAAG